CTGGCTCTGATCTCTAAAGGTTCTTGTCCAGCTCTACCACACAAGGCAGGGCTGACTTCAAAGCCAAATCCACCTCCAAAATCACCTCCTGTGGCACAAGTTTGTGTTCAGGCAAGTTCTGGATCAGTGCATGGCCAGAGTTCCGGGCCAGGGGTTGTATCTGTGGTAGACTAAACACGGGAGCTTTGGGTAGGGGAGGAACGATTCTGTCAGTGCCTGACACTGATCAGATTGTGGGGAGAAAGCTGAAGGCACACGGAAAAATGGGAATTTTCCTGCAGCTACAACATTCTTATTGTGGTAAATCTGATCCCTAGTGGAGCTTTCAGATAAATGCCTTTCAAGCTGCAGTGATCCTGTGGCTCTCTGCATTAGCAGTGTATATTTCCTTAATGTTCAAGGTATTTTTGGGCTTTCAGAGTTTTGTTTTTACCTTTTTTCTCCTATTTCAATTTATAATATAGCCTTTTTTGATGTTAAGAATCAGAACAGAATTGAAGACAAAGCAACACACCTCAATAATGGCATAAGGCAGATACAGGAATATTTACCTGGCCAGTTCTTGCATTCAGTGTCTTTTCTTCATGGTGGTTTTGCCCAGAAGCATCGTTCTGCCTTGCCAGCGTGTGCAAGATGCAGTTGAGGTGCAGATCCACGGAATCCCAGGGAATGCTCGGGCACCTCTTGGGATGGTCCAGCTTGTCTCAGAGGTGGCTCAAGCCCTCAGTCACCCTCAGGGCCGGTCCCTGGACTCACGTGGCAAGCGGAGCTCTCTGTCCTTTGGGGAGGGGACTCCCACGGTCACATCCACATCATTTCTTTGCTCCTTGGTTCTCATCCAGAGGCCCTGAGCTGTGCCCCTGGCATCTGTGAGCTGCAGACACGGTAACCCTGCTGCTCCGTACAGTCCGACAGGGCACTGCATCCACAGCACTCATCCCACCAGCTCTCACTCCGAGAGAGCCAGAGGTGCCAAATCTCTGGGGCTGCACCAAAGCCTCGAGCTCCTCTCGTTTGTTCCTCACGCTGACTGCATGGCTGTAGAAACATTACAGGTCTGGAACATGGTAGCCAACAGCTCATGAAGCAGATGGAGGGATCCCATTTGTGCTGCTTTGTTCCATTTTTGGCATACCATGCCATTTCTTAGAATTGGCAAGCCAAGTTTGACCCTTCTCCCATCCAAGGCAGTTTAAAGCTGTGTCAATGAGCCCCGCTATTGACTCCTGTGCTGGAACTCTTTTTCCTCAGTGAAAGGTGCCTCCCATCATTGCCAGTGGCTCAGGCAGGTGTTGAGTAGATCTTTCTGTGGTGAACAAAGCCCACATTTTCCCATTGACACCAACTGAATCTGCCTATTTCTATCGATACAATTTGGCTTTCTGGGAAGAGCTGAGGAAATCAGCACCTGGGCTCCTGATCCCCCTGCAGTCGTCGCAGGGCCCTGAAGTGTCTTTTTATTTCCCAGTGACTTTTTGGTGGCTCGTTTGCAAGTGGCTCGTTGTGGACTGGAATTGTCCCGGCGGGTAAATGTGGCACTTGGGACATGGCTCAGTGGTGCCATTGGTAGTTTTGGATTAATGTTTGGAGCGATCTGACACTGACAGGGACTCGGGGCAAGCGCCCACTTGGGGACACGCACGGACACTCACGGACACTCAGGGACACTCAGGGGCACTCAGGGACACGCAGACGCCAGTAGGAATTGCTGGCCTTTATTGGCATCGCCAGCCCCGCGCCACGGCCGCGCTCTGCGCGCTCCTCGGGCCGTGCGAGGCCGAGCCCCGCGCTCGGCTCAGCGCCGGCGGCGGCGTCTGCGGCTGCTGCGGCGGCGGCGGCGGTACCGGGAGCGGCGGGAGGCCCGGCTCCTCCTGCGCACGCCCCGGCGGCGGGAGCGGCGGCGCCGGCTCCGGCTGCGGCTGCGGCTGCGGCTCCTGCGGGAGCGCCGGCGGTAGCGAGCCATGCCGCCGCAGGCGGGCGCGGCGCCGGAGTGCCCGCTTTTATAGCGCAGCGGGGCAGCGAGGGACCGCATCGGCCGTGAGGTCACAATGGCCCCGGGGGAGCCCCCGGTTACAGCGGAGCTCCGCGGAGCCCGTGTCGCCAGGCGGGCTCACGGTCGCCACCTGGATATGCCGTGATAGTATGTAAACTTCTTCCTCTGCAAACTTTTCTGATTTGGACACACACATTTCACATCTTCAGTATCAGAATTCTTTAGATTCTTAAGAACTTAGAGGGGTGTCGGCTGGCGTTTATTTAGTTTTTTTGCTATATTGCTAATGTATTTGCAGGCAGAATTATTATTCCAAATTCGCTGGTGCTGTGGCAGGAGACAAAGGAAAACCATGAGAAATTCCCACAGATGCTTAGACTCGGCGTGTGCTGACTGATTTTTGCAAAAGTAAGCCAAATAAGTTTTTCAGCCCTCAGACTCCACCTATTTGAGCTGTCTTTGGTGCTGCATTAAAGCGAAGAACAAGAAACACTAAACTCCTCAGAAATGTTTACCTGCCTTAATTTTCTTTTTGCTTTCCTTTCTAGTGTAGCCCTGGCTACTGCGAATGAAGAATGGATGCCAGTGCGAAAAACGGAGTAACTCTTCAGGATTTTAAAGACGTTTAATAGGGAATAAAATAAGAGACGAAAGTCCAGTGCTGGGGTGCTCCTTGCAAACAGCCAAAGAAGACGCTGTAGATTTGAAACAATTTGCCTTTATACTGTGCCATTAATCTGGTTCACGCATATTCATGTTTTATTACTCAAACTTCTTTGGCAATTCTTGATATTCCAGGTTCTCTTCTTGTTTGATTCTTAACCTCTGACCTGCCTGCAGGATATTTTATAGGTAACGTCTTCCCGTCTTCCTATCCTATTATTTCATGCTCTGGATGCTTATGCGCTAGTTCACAAATGTAAGGAAAATTAGTGGTTTTGCACCGTTCTTTAAGTTGTTTATATAGAGATATTTTTAGTCTCTATCTTTAACAGTTCACTAATGCCTACGACACAATGTATTTATTACATTACCATTCATATAAGTGTATACTGACAGATTATACTATACAAAAGCAGTTAAAATTAAGTATAAATTGTACTATATCAAAATACTTGTGATAGAAAAGGTTATATATAAATAAAAATTATGTATAAATGCGAAAGCAAATATTATATTGTCATCTCTAACACCAGTATCTGCACAACAATCTATCTTGCATTAAGAGACTAATACAGAAATTTGGCAACAGCGAGCAGAGTCCTGGCACCCATTGTCTGCTTTAGCCAGGCCACGTTTATCAAGTCTACCTTATTTATTTAAAACTTTAGGTTAATGCCTGTAGGATTACATATGTCATTACTGTACTATAGCTTATTTATTTAAGATGATGTAAGTTAGCACCAAACTTTAGTATTACAGAAATTTCAGCATTTTAACTACTTCTGTTGTGGCCTATTATCATATTTGAAGCTGAGTTTTTTCTGGTCTTTTCCTTTCTTCAGGGCTTTATAAGAAATTTGTCAGTAGATCCTGGAGAGCCGGTACCCTTACTATGCAGCTGTGCAGATTTTAAGAAAAATACCGTAGGACAGTGCTCTCAGGCACATGGGATAGTGGGGACGTCCTGTGCAGGGCCACGAGTTGGTGGTCCTCGTGGATCCCTTCCAACTCAACATATTATCTGATTTTGTAATTGGTTCGGTGATTAAGAGAAGAATAAAACTGAACGTACGGAAGAATTGGCATACAAGGAACGAGAGAATCTTTTGACAGCACCGGCCGGGTCCCTCAGCCGCCTCAGCCGCCTCAGCCGCCTCAGCCGCCTCAGCCGCCTCAGCCGCCTCAGCCCGGTCCGTTCCGCCCCTTCTCGGCCCGTCCCGCCCCTCCCTTGCCCGCCCCGTCCCGCCCCGTCCCCACCCCGGCAGTTGCCGCCATGGAGGAGGCGCTGAAGGGAGCGCTCGGCACGGCGGTGCTGCGGCCCACCGGGCACACGGGGGGCGGCTGCATCAGCCAGGGCCGGAGCTACGACACGGACCACGGCCGGGTGTTCGTGAAGAGCAACTCTCGGTCGGAGGTGTGGCGGGGTGGGGATCGGGAGGTGCCGCGATGGGAAGCAGCATTCCGGGCCTGGTGTGGCAGCAGGAGCAGGGCAGTGCCCGTCCCTGTGCTGCCACTGCTGAGGCCACACCTCGAGTGCCGTGTCCAGCTCTGGGCCCCTCAGCACAGGGAATTGAGGGGCTGCAGCGGGCCCAGAGAAGGGAACGGAGCTGGGAAGGGGCTGGAGCCCCAGGAGGGGCTGAGGGAGCTGGGAAAGGGGCTCAGCCTGGAGAAAAGGAGGCTCAGGGGGCCCTTGTGGCTCTGCACAAGTCCCTGCCAGGAGGGGACAGCCGGGGGGGTCGGGCTCTGCTCCCAGGAACAGGGACAGGAGGAGAGGGAACGGCCTCAGGGTGGGCCAGGGGAGGCTCAGGGAGGACATCAGCAGGAATTTCTTCCTAGAGAAGGTTGTTAAGCATTGGAAGGGGCTCCCTAGGTATATGGTGGGGTCCCCATTCCTGGAGGTGCCCAAGGAACACCTGGACGTGGCACTCAGGGCTGTGGTGTGTGTGACAAGGTGCAGGTGGGTCAAAGGTTGGACTCAATGGTCTGGGAGGTTTTTTCCAGCCTGACTGATTCTGTGGTGGTATCAGTGTTGTTGGTCCAGGATATGCAGTACCATGACATGCTTTTGTCATTTACAGAGGGTAGCAGTGCTGTAACAGTGTCTGCAAGTGCTGTGACAGTGGCTAAGGCAACCCAGTAGGTATAAAATTGTCTGCTGAGGGGATGTATGATTTCCATGGTTTTAACTAATTAATTCCCTGCACACAAGAAAGAGCTTTTCTCAGTAAGTGATATTTTTTCACAGTTCTTCAAGCTTTTCTGCTTTATCCTTTCAATATCTGGAACATACTGTGGAAGGTAGATACCTAGGTTTGGTAGAGATAAGTATAATGTAACTTACTTCTTCAGCATCCTTTGCAAAAACAGAGATCAGGTGGAATTGACTTTAAAGATACTTTGTTCTTGTGTTTATCACATAAAGAGCTTCAGTGGCAAACAGGAGCCAAACTTATGTTTGCCCTTCATAGCAAGCAAATGTGTTTGAAAGTATGCATGCCACTATATTTATTCCAGATTTCTCAACAATTTCTGATCAAGCTGGGGAGCTGATTTGCGGTGGTAACATGGAAGGACACAGGACGGTTGTCCTTCTTTACAGAAGAGAAGTTGAAATGGTGTAGCCCTTCACTAATTCTGTATTTAGCTATACAATCCAACTAGCTGCAAGATCAGGCTTATGGGGGGACAAAAAAGATCTGGATAGATTTTCTATTCAGCAGTTTCATTTTGTATGCTTTTGCCTGTATGTGGATCCTGAGCACTGATCAAAGCAAACTTTGTTGAAGTAAATGCTGTGCTGTGTGAGCAGCAGCTGCTGTGCATCAGCAGTTCTTACTCTGTTTGAGCAGCTGGCTTTAGCCAAATGTGATGCTTTAGACAGAGACACAGAATTTCCTGGTTTCCTGTGGACACATAACTCATGCCTCAGTAACGCAGCAGTTCTTCAGTCTTGAGGCAGAAGGACAGCCAGAGATGATGGAGGGATGGAGCACCATAAGGAGAGGTTGGGAGAGCTGGGCTTGCTCAGCCTGCAGAAGAGAAGGCTCTGTAGAGACACAGTTTCACCCTGCAGTGCCTGAAGGGAGCCCACAGGAAAGATGGATAAAGACCTTTTTATAAGGACCTGGAGTAACAGGGAAAGGGGGGATGGCTTCAAACTGACAGAGAGTAGGTTTAGGTTAGATATTAGGAGGAAATTCCTGACTCTGAGAGTGGTGAGGCCCTGGCACAAGGTGCCCAGAGGAGCTGTGGCTGCATCTGGATTCCTGAAAGTGTCCAAGGCCAGGCTGGATAGGGCTTGGAGCACCCCAGGACAGTGTCCCTGCCCATGGCAGGGGATGGGACAAGGTAGTGTTTATGGATATTTATGGATGTCTTAAGGTCCCTTCAAGCACAAACATTCTGTGTTTGCCTCTAAGCTTTGGAATTTTTAATTGAAGTCTACTCAGACTGTCCTATGACTGCATTGTGTGGATCATTACTGAAGGGCTAGCATTCTCTTTCTATTTTATTCATTCTGCTTCTCTGCTTTTGCTTTTGCCAGATATGTTAAATTTCCCACACGCTCTTTCTACAACCCCTGCCTGACTCTTGTAAAGAAGCATTTCTCCATGTGATGAGTGTGACTGATGTCAGAGGAGGAGCTCAGGAGAATAGATTTTTCTTGGTGTGGGTAACAGGTGCAGAAATAGGCCCCAAATTCAGAATGTCTTCCAAGCAAATGCAGTTTGTAGTGGCTTGGGTTGTGCAAGTGTGATAAGGGGCATTTGGCTCCAACAGTAGATTCCCACCCACACCCTTCCCCCATGAGGTAAAAGAAAACAACATGGAAAACCATTCTAGAAAACCAGTCTGATGGGGCACAGCTGAAGGAGCTCATACTCTGTCTGTAAGCAGTTTGCACTCCTTCAGTTACAAACAGACTTTCTAAATTATAGAGAATCCTAGAGCCTAAGTAATTTTCACTCACTTGTTTTATGAAGTGAAATTTCTGTAATTGTAAAACTATTGTCAAGTCTGACGGTGTGGTTCTGCCTGTACCTTGTGTGTGAATAAACATTTCCTCCAGCCTTTCTGTGTAAGTTTTATGAAACCAGTTGACTTTGTGGAAGTGCTTTGCTTACCTCTGACTGATGGCTCGTAGACACTAATGCTTTCCCTTAATATCTGGCAGGCCAGAAGAATGTTTGAGGGAGAAATGGCAAGCCTGGAAGCCATCCTGAAAACACAGACGATAAAAGTGCCTAAACCCATCAAAGTTATAGACCTGCCCGGGGGCAGTACTGCATTTGTGATGGAACATTTGGAAATGGGAGGCTTAAACAGGTAAAACAGTGTTATCTTTGCCTCCTTTAACAAGAAATTTTGGCTGTTACTATAGTCCAATCACTTGTTTTCACAGGGGAACCTTGTTTCATTTCTTTCTAAAGCAAGCCAAGACAAATATGGGAAATCACCCAGAGTAGAGCTGTATCAAATACTTCATAATGCCTCACCTAGCAAATTGATCGTACATCCCAAAGTGAGCCTGGGTTTTGGTTAGTTTGGGTTTTTTTTAGCTTAGGTAATTAGTGATCTTTACAGCAAGGTTTCTTTTCACAGAAAGGAAAATGACCAGCCTGATCCCATGTTTTGTGTACTTGCCCTCTATATAAGAACCGGTACTTTCTTGCTTGACATGATTGTGCAGAGGCACTTCCCCAAATCAATAGATCTTGATTTCAGTATTTTCAGCTCTTACCTTCATTTTGATAGTTTCAAACTTTTGACCCTTCTCTGTGACGAGCACTTAATATGATGAATTCATCTGTCTGCTTCCATTAGGGAGGTGACTGTGACCGATTTCTCATCTCTCTCCCTTAGAACTTCTGCAGCCAGTTTAAAGTCTTGTCCTTCATCCTGCTTGTTGGCAGAGTTTCTAACTCATGAGGAGCCCTCAATGAGTCCCAAGAGAAAGGGCAGAGATGTTGCTGTTTTGGGCTTAAAAATGGTACCTTTGGCATGCAGATTTCCTGTGCTAACTGGAACAAATTGAAGAAAAACTTTGCCTTGAATGACAGTGCCTTGAGAACAGGAAAAATTGATAAAGATCAAAGGCAGTAAAAGGAACATAATTTTGTTGACATGGGAAGTGACTGGTTGTAAAATCTGTTTGTAATTACTTCAGTGCTCTTCTGAACCGTGTAGAGGATGAGGCTTTATTAGATAATAAACTAGGTCCCTGTGACTCTCTCATCATCTAGGCATATAAGAGAAAAGCAGCTGGAAGCAGCAGTAGAAAGAAAAGGATCAGCCTTATTTCGTTCTGTTTGCCAAATACAGTTTACCAGAGTTAAAAAACCAAAAAAGGCATAACATGTTGTGCATGCTTTCTTACACATATCTTACTGAGAGTTCTTACAGAGGATATCACACAGAAATTAGAATTGATAGTTTCTCATTATTAGTAAATTCATGCTTGCTGCTCACTTTCACTTTCAGTAGCGGTGTCAGAAACAGCCAAGTAAGTACATTTTGTGTTAATGTGCAGTCTTGATAGGAAGACAAGGTGTTTATAACTGGGATACACCGAAAAATTATTTTGTTAGAGGTGTAGAACTGCTTTTACTTACTCGATAAATCTGTTCAAGTAACTCCTGGAATATCAAGACCTGATTCTGTTCATGTGTCAGTGGTACTCAGATTGCTTTTTTGTTTCTTAGACATTCGGCACTGCTTGGAACTCAGCTGGCTGATCTTCACCTTCATAACCAGAAACTTGGAGAGAAGCTGAAGAAAGAAGGGAACACAGTTGGTACAGTACACAGCTGTTTGCAAATTTAACCCAGTTGATGATAATCTACAAAGCTGTTAAAATAACTTTTGCTACTTCAGGACAAGTTCATCTTCCCTTGAAAACAGAATGAGAATAGGTTTGGATGAAACAAACCTGGGGAGGGTTTATTTTTGATTTTGTTTGCATTGTTTGGGTCTGTGTAAGCAAAACACTTACTCAGTATTGGACCCTTTTTTGGAGCCCAAACCACAGTTTCTACAAGGACATGGTATCAGAGGGGATAAAGAACCTTAAAATACAATTTTGAAGAGTAGAATAAGTCTGCTTTACATTGAAATTTAAATTTAAATTAAAAAACCCACCACATTGTAACCATAAAAAGAACATAATTTTTTTTTTTATTCTCAGTAGAAGCAGCATTGCACTCTTCTTTAGTTTTAAAGGTTCAGTTGTGTCACGGATGCTCAGTATTTTGTCACTGGTGTCGAATTTTTGTCTTTGGTTTAAAAGGTAAAGGTCCAGGGCAAACAGAAGTCCAGTTTGTGGATCAGTTTGGCTTTCATACAGTTACCTGCTGCGGTTATCTTCCACAGGTAGGTTGTACTTCATCAGACTGATAGGATTTCAAATTTATCTTGTTTTCCCTTCTGTGACACAGAGGGTCAAAAATTACCGTAATGGAAATAAATGAATTTTTGTGGAGCCATGAAAATAAACGAAACATGGTTCAGCCTGCTAAGGAAGGTGGTGCTTTGGACAGCACTTATAACTGCTTTGGACACTGATAACTCTTCAGTTTCTTGGACTTTAATCACTGAGAGAAAATTATTACTCTACTTTAATGTTTTAAGATAACATTCGATTAAATGATAGCGTTTACTGTCCTGGATGGTACCAGCACAAAAGCTGTGTGATCCTTAAAAGGCTTATTTGAAAAAGAAGAAAATCTGTCTTTTGTGTGCTGTAGAACTGACATCTGCAGTACTGTTCCTTCAGGTGAATGACTGGCAGAGTGACTGGGTGACCTTCTTTGCCAGACAGAGGATCCAACCCCAGATGGACATGGTCGAAAAGAAATCAGGTGACAGAGAAGCAAGAGAACTTTGGGCACAGCTTCAGGTAGGAGCAATTCCCTCAGTTCTCATTATTGGCAGAGCTGGGTATACTTCAATTTTATTTTCTTAAACCAAAGTTCAAGTTCGTTGGTTTGCACCAGGTACAGTTGATAAGAGACTCCAGTTTTTAAGGATTAAAATGCCCTTTATTCTAAGGTAAAATGGCATTTGCCACATCGCCCTATGCTAACATTCCAGAGTGAATTCCAAACTGCCAGATACTGCCCTGCCTTACCGTTTGGGAAATACTGGATGGAGCTCATATTCTCATTCCCTGTAACACGTTCATGAGGAGAAATGTACACAAGTAGTTCTGTTCTGCGTGTTGTCTGTTTGTTCACTGTTTGCACCTGTTTAAGTGACTGCACCATTGGTTGGCTCCTTGGGTCCTGCTTTTTGGAAATTTGATGAGCTTTCTAATGATGAAGGGTTGGTGGTTGCTATTACTAACCCTGGTCAATATCTGAGTTTCAAGGATTGTATTTTCCTGCTAGAAAAGATTTAGATTACTGGTCTGCTGCTGCCTTTTATGAAAAATAAGTGTCCTGTGGATGTACTCATCATCTCTGTTGACCAGGTCTTATGGTGTTTCAAATGAAGGGTTTCAAGACGCTGCAAGTATGCAGATAAACCTCTACATTAATTTACATGTCTTGCTTTTCTCCCCCTGCAGCTGAAGATACCCAGTTTGTTCTGTGGTGTGGAAATTGTTCCTGCTCTCCTGCATGGGGATCTCTGGGGAGGAAATGTAGCTGAGGATGATTCTGGTCCGATTATCTTCGATCCGGCTTCTTTCTATGGCCATTCAGAGTACGAGCTTGCAATAGCTGGGATGTTTGGTGGCTTCAGCAGTTCTTTTTATTCTGCTTACCACAGTAAAATCCCCAAAGCCACAGGGTTTGAGAAACGCCTGAAGCTTTATCAGCTGTTCCACTACATGAACCACTGGAACCATTTTGGTTCAGGGTACAGAGGGTCTTCTTTAAACATTATGAGAAACCTTGTAAAATAAGTTGCTGCTTAAGCCAAATACTTCCCGTGTTGTTTGGAGAGCCCCATACTTGGTGGTGCAGCTGCAGGAGTAGTAATGTTAAAAACAACCTGTGAGACCCCTGATCGTGTTAAAGACCTAGAACCAGTGACACCTGTTGAATGCCAAGTGTAAAATATCCCTTTTTAGGATAGCTGGGGATAACTCCGTGAGGGGAGAAAACTAAGGAAGGAGTTTATTAATTTGCACAGTGAATAAAGGTCTCAGTGTCCAGAAAGCACGTGAGACTGTGCAGGGTAGTACAAATAAAGCATCGAGGAGATGCCTAAAAGAAGTTGCTCGCTGCATTTTGCTGTGTCTTCCTCCCTCTTTCAGCTCTTCATGTTCAGTTGTGTGCATGAGAGCAATGTCAACAGCAGAGCTTGAAAGTCAACAGGAAAATTATGTAACGGGAACTTTGAGAAGGGATTTGGACTTGCTATTAATTTTCACGGAATCAGAGTGGGTGAGATTGTGGGGGGGTGGGAATCACAGAATGTCATCTAGTCCAACCTCCCTGCCTAAGCAGATTACTCAGGATTGGGTCCAGAGGCTTTTAAAGACCTCCAGGATTTTGCTGATTGATTCCATTGGATGCAGACTGTTGGTGCCTCCTGGAATGTTTGTAGGCTGTTTGGTGCTTTCTGGTCAGTGGGCACTTATCCACAGCAATTTTGCTTCCAGCAGAACTAGTTCTCTTCCTTTTTTTGGATTATGCTTTTGTCCAGCATGCCATTAGAGAACTTTCTGGTTAAGACACTTTTCATGTACACACCTTGTGGAGGTGTATTCTCTAATAAAACCTGTACATGCTTCACGTGCATGACTGAAGTCACTCAAAATCCACCTAATCATGAAACTACATCAGCTGGAACTTTGTGTTTTCCACACCCTCAAAGAAAACAATAAAAATACAACATAAAATGGGAAGGAGGTCAGGCTGTAACCGTCTGCTTCTCCACAGGAATGCCTGTTAGGTAATTCTATTCCAAGGTGATACTACTGCTTGTGGTTTCTGATACCAGTGTGTTTACCAGCAATAGTTTATCGACCTTATTCTGGCACAAGGATCAGTAAACCACGAATGTGCCCAGTGTCAAGTCTCCACCATTTCTGTATCTGTGCTCATGAGAGGTCTAATGCAGATTTAAGAGTGCTGCACTGTTCATTCTAAAATATTCAGTGTGAAGGTCTCCCAGGGCCTCAGACACACTAGAAACGGGAAGATGTAGACATCTCTGGATAACCTGGAAAACAAGGAGGTCTTCCTTTCCTAAACTCTTACATGCCAGTCCCCACTAAATGCCTGCGGCAGCTGTTGTGGTAAGAGAGGTGAAAGGGAAGGAAGTTAACATGTAACTCACAGTGCAGCACTTCAGCCCTGTCAGAATTTATTGTGATTGTTCCACAGACTGTGGCTTTTGCCTGCAAGGAGTTAATACTGAAATTGTTCTGTTTTTGATGTAGGCTGGTACTGGTGCTTCTGTGCAAGCCTGCCAGGTAGGTGAGAGAGATGCATGATACCTAACGTGCACTTTGAGTGTTGGGGAATTACTTTTATTAACTAGAACTGCTTTGCACTGGGTATTGGCAAATTACTGAGGGTTTTGTAGCTGCTAGTTTGGCAGTTATTGACACAAATTGGAAACAAGTTTGGATAAGACTGGTATTTGCTACAACTTTACTTAATTCTACTACTTTTCTCACTGGCTGTTGGACTTTTGCTGCAAAAAATCTGCTTGGTTAATACATTTTACTTCTACCTTGTTGCCTGAATAAAAGGTTTCCCAGTTTACTATTGTTGTCACTGTTTTCTAAATTAAAATCTTACATCTTGGTTTATTCATCTTGGGTAATTACTTGCTCTGACCTGTTAAAGATCCTCAGTTTATTAGATAAACTATGCTCAGTGGAGGTGTTTCTGTGCATGGTCATGGGTTGGTTTGGAGAAGTGTGTCACTGAAAAAAATCTACATGTTCCTTACAGTGCAAGTCAAGATGTTAATTTTCCTAAAATACATAAATAGTCTTCATTATTAGCAGGGGAAGATGAATATGAAAGTGGATTTTCTGTCAGTTGTAGTTGTGAGAGCAACTTACTTATAAACAGCAAGTGTTCAGAGATGACCTTTTCCTAGTAGAACTGAATCAAAATATTTTTGTGATTGAAGAAAAGTTGTATTTAATCAAGTTATGCAGATAGAAACAATTGTATTGAGAGTTTTAATGTAAGGGTATTATGCTCAATTTTTCAAAGCTGTTTTTTTGCTGTCAGTAAGATCAGAAGGGATGTAGAGAGGCAGACAAATGGAATGTAATGGGAATCTCTCCTTCATCATGGATCCCTTGGCTCTGAGCCCCTCTCAGGCTCCAGCCGCCTGCAAAAACTGCCTGCAGATACAAATGTTAAACTCCAGTGCTGGTTTTCCTCCTGCTTCTCCTCCTCAGTGCTGTTCCAAAATAGATCTGGTGATTAAAACCGCTGCTGGGCTCTTCTGGCAGAAGTCAGAGCAGGTGGGAAGTGCTACAGAATTAGAATGTGACAAAAATCTTTAGGGAGGGAAAAGGTATTTCTGGTATTTCTGAGCCACACCACAGTGACAAAGGCTTTATTATTTTTTCTTGGTAAATATTCAGTTATTTCTAATTTGTTTTTATTTGAGGTTTTATTTGTTTGGGCATTTTTTTTTTGTTTTCCCTTAACAATTAAACAGAAAAATTAATTAGTATTGCTTTCATTATGCAGATACAAGGTTTTCTATTTCTTGTCATTATTTTTTTGCCAAAACAAAACACTTTATTCCTTTCCCCATGTGCTCCACTGCAACCCAGGGTATGGTTCTTCCAGCAGCTGGAGAGCCACCTAACCAAGAATGTTATCTTTATAGAGGCATTGGTAAAACAAGTATTATAGGATCTGGGTTATAATAGTATGTATTAAAGGCTCAGAACTTTACACCTGAGAGTGCCAGTGCATTTTGCAAGTACATCGTATTGGTTGATCTTGTTTTTAAATTCAGCATCATTGCAAAAATGGGTTTTGAATTTTCTTCCTTCTTTGCCTCTTCAGAGCAATCCTCTGCGAAACAAACACGCTGGGATTCATTTACAGCTCAATACTGTGGAAAGTTACTGTCCTAATCTTCACCAGTACCACTGATACAATGTAATTTAGAGGCAGCAGTTCTGAATAGAAACACAAAACACAATCTCCCAGCCAAATTCACAGGAACGAGAATGAGGTTTATTGGTTTGCAGAAAAACACTTGGTTTGCATAGATGGGATTGCTCCTTTATATAAAAGGTGAATTAGCACAATCCTTTCAGTTCTTTACATGTCTCATGTTCCACTGGCGCTTTAATAAATTATTCCCAGAAACTGTCTGCATCCGAGCTTGAAATAATGTGCATATTTTCTCCAAGTTGTTTGGTGTAAATATTTCCCTCCCCTTTTTGCAGTCATTGCCTCAGAGCAGACCTTTGCTGCTTGGTCAGTTGTTGCTTTATCTTCTGTTTCACCAGCTCCTACAAACAAACAAATCAGAACTTTTTGAGATGATTTAGCACTAAGGACACACAGCCAGTACTTTTTCAGGACCAGCATGAACATTCATGATGTTCATATTGACTGTAGAAATGATGAAAAGGGTTGTTTCCCTGTAAGAAAATAATAGAAAAGGGAGATTCTATGCTTTGGACCAGGTCTGCATGGAGTGCTGTGTTTGTGTTCAATGCTACACCCTCAGGACTCAGAGCACCTAGAGAGGTGTGGGGTTATCTGTGCTATTGTCTTTTGATAGTCTAAACTCTAATAAACAGCATTTAAAATCCTACTTTCTAGTCCAAGTGTGTTTCTTACAGGGGTGACAAAGGACCAGCAGCTCTTGGTGTAAAACACATGCCTTACACAAAAAATGTAAAAGCTCATAAAATGGTAAAACATTTCAGGTCCAGCAGTAATTCTTTGGTTTGTGCCTATTGTAGAAAAACTGGTTTTTCTACAGTTAAAATTGCAAAAATATGAGTGGTTCTGTCGGAAAACAAGAACTCCTTAATACGAGTGTGGCTGAGATAGATGGGCAGTCATCTGTTTCATCATGGTAGAGTCATACCTTGTTGGAAATGTGCTAGAAGAAATCTTGCAAGTCTCTGACATGTAATCTAATGTAAATTCATCAAAATCTATCGCTCAGCCAGAATACTTGCTGGAAGGACTCACTGGTCTCTCCACCATCACAACTTAAATGTGAGCAAATACTGAAAATGCTTCAGACTGAGCAGATGGACAATTTGTTACTTACATGGTTGACCATTCCCCTCGTTTCCTCCAAGTTACACAAAAGTATGTAAAGATTTGTACAAGTACAGAATGATGCCTTACTTCATCTGAAAGTAGGTTCTTCACAATTCATGATGCTTTCTTTTTCTGGCATAGTCTGCAAGTTGTGGCTGCACCTATTGCCAGTCCTGCCATTGTGTATAGCAACAAAGCCTGCAAGCATTTGTTTTTGTGATTAGCTTAATAATCTTTTTATGTTTTAACATGTTTTCTCCAGAGAAAACAGACAGAGAGTTGCAAGAAGATAAACGCTTGCGGCAGTATCAGCTCTAATCAGCCCAGTGGTTCTTACAGAAATGCCACTATTTTGCATTTTTAGTTCTGTAATTATTTTCCCATGTTACAAATAGCCTGTTATAAATATTTTTACTTTAGCTCTTCACACTCAAAAAGTAAAGGTTCAGCAATGGGCAGAAAGATCATTTTACTCAGCCTGAAATCATGTAAGTGGAAGAAGCACTGTGCAAGGTAAATTAGTGAAGAGCAAAGTTTTTTATGTGGATGAATTGCTTGAAAACTTTTCTTCTAAGTGCTTTTGTATTTCTTTTAGAACAGAAACTTAGGTATGCACAAGCCATTTACATATTGTTGTGTATTTAAAATACCTTAAAAAAAATAATAATAATAAAAAAAAAAAGAATCCAGACATGAGAGAGTAAAGCAGCCAACTATTCCGTGAGTACCGGAGCCACACCTTGAGTAAGACAAGTCTGATTCACAGAGTAACAACAGTGAACGTGTCAGAGGTGGCTCCACCACGTCCTGCACAGCCTGGGGATGAACAAAAAATGCATTAAAGTTCTGCTGGAAATGTCCTGATTCACATCGTGCAGAAAGACAAATTCAGACTGCCGCAGGGATCACTGCTGAAGGTCAGTTCATAGAAATCTCTAAGAGAGATTTCTCGCCTTTCTCAGGTGAGAAAGGCCAGTTGAAACCTGGGCTCAAGCACATCC